GAGTGTCTTCTGGCTCTTTATGTTCCAAATCTTTGACTTGATTCTTGCGATCTTCCATTCTGTTTTTAGGACTCTGTATAATATTTTTTATTTCAGACAATGTATTTTTTATTTCTTGTTGATCCCTTATTATTTCTTGTTGATCCCTTATTATTTCTAGTTGATCCCTTTTCATTTTCTCATAGGTCTTATCGACCTATTCTAGGAAATTCTTGAAAAACCTTATAAGAGTGGTTTTGAACTCTATATCCAGTCACTTTTTGTCCTACATTTCTTTTGTTTGTGATCTGTTTCCTTATCTCCGCATTTTCGCAGCTTCCCTGAGTTGGTAGCCTTAAAAGTCTGTCTTCAGCTTGGATGGGGCAGAGTTTCAGGGTGGAGCCTACAGCCTTGGCTTCCGTCAGCCACACCCTATGAGGCTCCTGAGTCTCAATATTCCTCAGGGTCCTTCAGTACTCATTGCAAGCACCTCTGAGAGAAAGGTGCACTGGAGTTTCACCTGCTACCAAACAGTCTAGGCTCTCTGGAAAGAATCTTTTAAATCTTTTGGACTTTTTAAAAACGCCACAGGACGCAGGACAAATTGTTAAAAATTGGGACTGTTCCGCCAAGGGGGACATCTGATCACCTTATTAATATTCCATAGTTCTCTGGGGCATTGGGAATCCCCAGTACCCAGGATAGTAGATTGATGAGCCCTTTAAATAAAATAAATATAATTTTTATAAGTAGTGTTGCTAAATTAGAATCCCATATCAGGGGCTACATTTGACCATTTTTATATGCTATCCTACACTGATATGTTAGGGGAAAGGAAGGAACATAGAAATTGCTCAGTGCTCCAAAAATTACCAGTTGGTTTACCCTTGGAAACTCACTGCTCTACTTTTAAGAAATTTCAGATTAGATTTTTTTCATTTTTACTTTGAAATGTTAGGACATGTTGCTTGTTTAAATAAGTCCCAGTTGGAGAACCATCTGAAAGTCACAGAGCCAAGTCAACATGATTGTGTGATGTAAATTTTGGGTATTAATTAAATGGAATAATATCATAAACACATATTGAAATTAAAACTTAAGTTACATGACAAAGACCAGAGACCAATAAATTAACAATGTGATAGTTGGTATGAGAGAAATTGCCCAAATCATTCTTTCCTTCTTCTTAAGCAACTGAAGAATAATCTCTGTTTTTTTAATTGGTGCATTTAGACCATTTACAGTTAAAGTAATTGTTATATTAGGGCTGAAGTCTACCATTTTATTATTTGTTTTCTGTTTGCTTCTTCTGTGTCTCATTCACTTGGCTCTGTGGCTTTCACATGGTTCTTCAACTGAAACTTATTTAAACAAGCAACACGTCCTAACATTCTTGTCTTTCTGTGGGTTATTTGACCGTGTTTAGGGAGCCTTCTTGATTTAATTATAGGTACATGCCCTTGACCTGATTGGAATCAAACCTGGGACCTTTCCTGATGCTTTATCCACTGAGCCAAACTGGTTTTGGCACTCTTTTCTGTTCTTGAACTTACCTTGAGTTATTGAGCCTGCATGACCCCTCTCATCTCCCTTAATCAGTGTTTCTGGACTGAGTTTGAACACTTTGACATGCTCATCTGAGGGCTTTTGTCTTCTCTTCTTATCAGCTACTTAATCTCCCCAAACCTCTATTTTCTCATCTGCCAAATGAAAAGATTAACAATGGCTTATCTCATTGGGTTGTTCTGATAATTAAGTGAGAAAATTCATGTTAAGCTCTAACACAGTGACTGGGATATAGTAAAGGCGCAACAAATGTTAGCTGATATTTTACCAGTGGGATTTCTGTCACTGCTCTTATGCTGTGTTTTCAAATGTATTTTGTCTGGAGCTAATTATCCCTAGAGTTAGTACTCCCTCTTGGCATTAGAGGAAGAATTTTCATTTATCCATTGGTTCATTGACCCAATTGCTCAGTGATCCCATGGGTAACTCTGGCACCTGCCTCCAGAAGGAGGAAGCATGTGGCCTCTCTGTCTCTAAATATAAGCACTCTATGGGGCAGGACTAGTGACAAGTTGCATGCCAACATGATCAGTCCAGTCTTCTTTCTTCTCATTCCTCATCTCTCAGAAAAAGCAAAGTTTTTACTAGTAACTCTTCTCTACCACTTCCTGGATCCTTCAGCTAATACTGTGATGTAGTATGTGAGTTTAAGAGCATTGACGGTGTCAAGGAGAGGGATTGACAAGTGTGTGTGTGTATATATTTAGAGATCTATATAAAAGACAATGATTAGAGCTTGGAGAGAGGAAATGGATATGTGGGATAAAAGGGGTTAGTGAGACAAAGGATGTCAGTGGGACTGGGAGGATGACTCTGGTTAGAGAAAGAAATGGGCATGCAGAAGTGGGTCAGGAAAAGCATTAGGAGAATGTGGGGGGGGGAGACTTTTTAATAAAATGTTTGAGTGCAGTTCAAAGAGCAGTCTGTATCAGGATGGGAGCTATCATTGGGAGCTATTCATGAAAATGGCACATGTTTTGATCATTACCTTGATGTAACAAACAAACCCACTAGTAAAAGGCTAACTTACCAATCCCATGGTTCATTTGTTCAAATAGTTCCTATGTACCTACAATGTGCAGAATGTGTGCTTAGTACTGTGAACTCCCCAGTCTCAAGGTGGGGACTCTTGAGGGAACTTTCTCTTGGTAATCTGGTGTGTCTAAATTGGAAGTCCTCCTTGTTCTGTCTCCCATCCTGCATTTTGTAGAACAGGTATAGCAATGGGGAGAAGGAGAGGTTATGCCTTGAAGTTGGGATTCTCCATCACGTTTTGCCATTGCATCGTAAAAATATGAAAATCACATGATGCACCATCGTATGCTTACTCAAATTTTGACAAAAATCCCAAAATATTTATATGGGGGGGTGAAACAAGAGGGTAGATAGAAAATTTTCTTTATATGTTTATTTATTTTAAAAAATGAATTGGTATGAAGGGGTGTCAGTAGATTAAGGGTATCTCAGTGCCTCTGCAGTGCAAGTAAGACTGGTTTTAGATTATAAAACCATTTTACATGCTGGCTTTGAGTGTATGTGAGCAAGAGTAAGGTTATTAGAGCTATAAATTTGAATTAGTTTCAATTTATTAAATGGGTAAACATTTACAAATTTTGATGCCTTACTTTTTGTTATTAGAAATAATTTTCTTGTGATACATCTCACAATGAATCCTTCCATACATATAGCCTAGTGTAGGGGGCAGGCTATTTTACCCCTTAGAAACATGGCTTCAGGGTGTACAGCCTGCACATTTGTAGAACCTAAGGGTGGTGAATGAATATAACAAAAAAATAGGGTTGGAAGTCACAGGAGGAAAAGATACTAGGTAGAAAAAGAGAAAGCAGAAAATTGAAGAAGTGTCTCCATTTCTCCTTAGCCTGGACCGAATCTTTCCCTGCTTTTTGCTCTCTTCACTATTGAGGTTATAAAGCATCGTTAGAATTATAAGCAGAGCGAGAGTTTTTTGGACTTATATTAGGTATCTTGCATTGAGAAGTAACATGTGAAAGTAAAATGAATTTGATTTTTTCTTCAAAAACATATTTTATCAATTTTTACAGAGAGGAAGGAGGGATAGAGAGTTAGAAACATTGTTGAGAGAGAAATATTGATCAGCTGCCTCCTGCACACCCCCTACTGAAATTGAACTTAGGACTCTTCCGTCAGTGGGTCAAAGCTCTATCCACTGAGCCAAACCAATTAGGGCTGAATTTGATTTTTGATGAAGTTTTGTTTATATAAATTTGGGGCTTATGCTTTAGAATAAAGAAGAACAATGTAATCCCATATCAGTAGTTTCACCTAATGTTTATTTGGTTCCTTTATACTCTGATTCTCTCCTTATCCTCTCTATGTTCTTTCTTCTCCATGTTCCTTTCAGAATTTTAATCATTCATTTTTCTCCTAGCCCTGATAACTAACAGATAGAGTTTCAGAAGCAGACAAATCTAACTTGAGTCATCATGGGAAAATCCAAGGCAAGAAGGTCTCTAGGATTAATCCTTCCTATAGCAGGAGGGAAAACCAAATCTTTTTGAGGGTTAAGGATCAAGTGGGCTGGAGGAAGGCTATATTAATGGAGTCAGAGGGGAGTATATCGATTTCTTATACTCAGAATAGTTTTCCTGGTGGCTCCTAAGGATAAGAAGAACTAAACACATCCTTTATGGAACTGTCTGGGGAGGAGTGTGAGAAGTTCACAAAGAGCAGGTAATGAATATGGCTTCTCAAATTCAGCCGCTGCCCACTCCTCACTGCCTGTAGAAAAGACCTGGATCTAGATCAGCGTGGAGAAAAACACTCCTTAGGCTCCTTCTGGATTTCTACTTTGTGCTCCACTTCAATGAACAGGGATCCACAAGCGCCACGTTATTAGGTAAGTGCCATGTGAAATGTTCAAGGTAATAGCCAGATAAACTTAATGTGATTATGTATAATCAAGTTAAAATACAGTTTGCCTAATAGGTCTTCAGGAAGGAGATATATTATTATGGGCACAGGCCATTACAAAATGGCTTGTCTTAAAGAGGTATGTTAAGGTTCAAATTTGAATAAGCAGAAATGGAAGGGAAGGGAAATTCATGTAAACACAGAATGAGCAAAGTCTTAGAGGGAAAAGTATAGCATGGGTAAGGGGGCAAATGCTGCTTGTGTGGAAATGGCACAATGAGGTCAGAAAGGGAGGTGGGCCCAGACGTTGGGGGCAGGGTGAATGGAGGCAGGGTGAAGCATGGTTGATACAGACGTTCTACGTGAGAATGAATACAAAGGGCTAGAGGTTATCCCTATAATAGTATTCTCTGGAAGGACTTTCCCCTGGAAAATCCCACAGTTTAGAAACCCGTGCTGTCTTTTGTGATCTCAGCACACACTCAGAGATGCTTTCTGTTCCTATTATATTCAGCAGACCCATCAACTTCTAAGTCATTACAGAGAGGATCCTAAAGTTCATCATGACTCACACCAACCTTACCATCTTCCACCCTGCAGTTTTTGTCCTACTCGGCATCCCGGGGCTGGAGGCCTATCACAGCTGGCTGTCCATACCCCTCTGCCTCATGTATATCACGGCAGTCCTGGGGAACAGCGTCCTGATAATGGTCATCATCAAGAGCGTTAACCTTCATGAGCCCATGTACGTTTTCCTTTCCATGTTGGCCATCACGGACATCCTGCTGTCCACCACTACTGTACCCAAGGCCCTAGCCATCTTTTGGTTCCATTCCCATGACATTGCCTTTGATGCCTGTGTCACCCAAGTGTTCTTTGTCCACGTGATGTTTGTGGGGGAGTCAGCCATCCTATTAGCTATGGCCTTTGACCGCTTTGTGGCCATCTGTGCTCCTCTGCATTACTCAACGGTGCTAACGTGGCCCGTTGTGGGAAGAATTGCTCTGGCCATTGTCACCCGAAGCTTCTGCATCATCTTCCCAGTGATTTTCTTGCTGAAGCGGCTGCCCTTCTGCCGGACCAACATCATCCCCCACTCCTACTGTGAGCATCTTGGAGTGGCCCGCTTAGCCTGTGCTGACATCACCGTTAATATCTGGTATGGCTTCTCAGTGCCCATTGTCATGGTCATCTTGGATGTAATCCTCATCACTGTGTCTTACTCACTGATCCTCCGGGCAGTGTTCCGTTTACCTTCCCAGGATGCCCGGCACAAGGCTCTCAGCACTTGTGGCTCCCATCTCTGTGTCATCCTCATGTTTTATGTCCCATCCTTCTTTACCTTATTAACCCACCGCTTTGGACATAACATTCCTCGACATGTCCATATCCTGCTGGCCAATCTTTATATAGTGGTGCCACCAATGCTCAACCCCATTGTCTATGGTGTGAAGACTAAGCAGATCCGAGAAGGTGTAGCCAGCCGGTTCTTTGACATGAAGGCTTGGTGCTGTGCTTCCCCTCTGGGCTGATGGCTCCCCAGAAGTCCCCACACCCAGGAAACTAGGTATAAAATATAGAGATTTCCTGAGAGGGCTTTTCCTTTTCTTTCCTATTCTCTTCCTTCTTCTTCATCATCCTATCTTCTTCTATATCTTTTTATTTTCTTTCCTGGCTCTTCCTCTTTGCCTCCTCCCCCTGTTTCTTTGTTTCTTTTTATCCTCTTCTATTCTCATATTCCTCCCCCACAACCCATAAATAACAACTAAGTGTTCATGCTTCTAATTATGAACATTTGGTATCCTCAGTAGACCAGATGTACTCCAGAAACACAGGGAGCTGAACAGCACATAAAGTAAGTTATGCACGAATGGATAAAAATAATTTTATATTTAATATCTGAAAGGGTTCCAGTTTTTATCTCCAAATATGCATTTATTATTTGTACAGGTTCAAGTAGCTCTCCTCCAACTTCTGTAATGGCAGGTGCTTTTGAAAAACAGCTATGTGTGCATATCATTTAGCCATCTGGAAAAGTCCTGTTTTTTCTTCAAATTTCAGTTCAAGTATTGTCTTCCTCGAGAAGTGTTTCCTAAATTTTTCTAGGCAATACAAGACTCCTATCTTTTGAGTTTTAAATGCATAAACTCACCTGCCAACTGAATATCTCCTCCAGAATATAGAATTCAAGTTACCACATCTTCATGTTCCTGTTCCTTTCCTTGGAAACTAGCTCATGAGGATCCCACCAACTTCACCAAGCTGGAAACCCTGGGAAGTTTCTCAACTTTTTCCTTCCTGAACTGCTCATCAATAAGTTCTTGGTTGTTACTCCTATTGATAATAACCAAATAGTTATCTGGATAGTATTTGAAGTGATACTGGGATTCCAGTCCTGTTTCTATTGTTTTCCATGATCTTCTTAGGCCATATCTAAAATAGGCTCTGGGGAATATGTCCTTCTCAGGCCACTTCCTGGTGCTGAAAGCTTGGGTCCTAAGAATTGTATTCACTTTTGACTAGTCAAAGTCTTTCTTAGCTAAGTTCTTGGTTTCTTCAGCATTATACTGGTATGTTTATTAATAACCTACTAAACTTCTCATCTATTTGGTTTTATTTATGTGCCAGTAAACATCCCCACCCTAAATCTCTTAAATATGTAATTCCTAAATGTTTTCTGTATTTCCTTTCATTATGTCCATGTACGTCTTTCTGCACTAAATAAAGGCTAATTTGGGACTGTGATACTTTAGTGGGAAAGTACCTTTGCCCTCAGTCGCTTGATTTATTTGAGATAGCACATCCAGAACATGATCATCATCTTAAGCAATACATAGGGATATATATATATATATATCCCTATGTATATATATTTAATATATATATATTTAAATTTTATTATGTATGTCTTTAGTCCACCTCTACCGAGCCCACATACCCCCTCCCTTGGCCTTCACCACACTATTGTCTGTGTCTATGAGCTATATATTCTTTAAAAAAAAACCCATATATTTTATTGACTTTTTACAGAGAGGAGAGGGACAGAAACATTGATGAGAGAAAAACATCGATTCAGCTGCCTCCTGCACACCCCCAACTGGGGATGTGCCCGCAACAAAAGCCCATGGAATTGAACTCAGGACCCTTCAGTCCATGGGCCGCAGCTCTATCCACTGAGCCAAACTGGTTAGGGGGAGCTATATATTCTTTGGCTAATCTCTTCACCTTCCCCAATTCAGTCCTCACTCCCCCTACTTCCTCTGAGATCTACCAATTTGCTCCATGCATTCATGCCTCTGGTTCTACCTTGTTTGTCAGTTTATATTGTTCATTATATTTCACATATAAGTGAAATCATATGGTATTTGTCTTTCTCTGACTGTCTTATTTTGCTTAGCATAATAATCTCCAAATGCATCCACCCTGTTGCAAAGGGTAAGAGCTCCTTCTTTTTTACAGACTCATAGTATTTCACTGTGTAAATGTACCACATATTTTGTATCCACTCATCTGCTGATGAGCATTTGGACTAACCTTCCCTGGGCCCATCCTATGTCACTCCTATCTGTCATCTAACTACCTCTAGGGAAGGTTGTTGTCTCACTCCAGCAGGAAAGACCTTGGAGGCTTGCCTTAGCCACTTCTTAGAACACTTCTATTCAAACCTAGTCCCAAGGGGCAGGCCCATTAGATGGACAGCTCTGCCAGACTGAAACATTGGATGAAGGTGTGTTCTCCCCTCTATCTAAGCTTGGTTTCCTCCCCACTCACTCTAGAAAGAACAGTCAGTTCTGTTATAACATGACATGAGTTATTAAAAGTCACTGTGCTATGCAACACCCCACGTGAAAACCTCAGGATTTATGGAAAAATGGAATTAGGGAAATAGCATTCAACAACTTTGTCAGTGACACTTAAAAAAGATAGAAAACTTGTATAAACAGTAGCGGAGTTTTACATTGTTAAATGATTAAGAAAAACACAAATACTACACTGCACATAACACTTTGAAGAAGATATGCAGTTTGCTGTGGAAACACAGAGGGGTTGCAGCTAGTCAGTTATTGTGAAGTGCTAGAAGGGGCTCTATCTGGAATTATTAAGTTGTGATGTAAAGGAAGGTGGCCGATTAGTATTTGGAGTATGTGTGTGTTTGTGTATTCCTATGCAGCTTCTTTTGAGCTTGAGGCAGTTTTCTGCATTCTACTGGACAAAAGGGCACAAAGGCAAATGTGAAATTCAGTTGTGCTCAAATTGTTTTGTAATATACCATTGATGTTAGAACATATTTGTTTGTTCAAATAAAGTAATATAGCAGAACTATCTACCTTTTTTCCTATATCAACAGTCTTCCACTTTCTGGTATTATGCACCTCAATATATATAGATTCCAAGACTGCCAACTACCTGTGCTCCACATACTTCTGCCTTGGTCTTGCCATGGCACTTCCAAATCTCACTCCTATACCCTCAGGCTCTGCCTTCCACATAGCCATCCTCTTGTAAGAGTTATTTTTGCAATATTATCTTTCCTTCCTCATCTTTTAAATCTATGGTCATCTAGAATCTATCCTATCAGGATGTTGAAACTGCTCTTGCTAATGACTTCCACACTGCCTCGTTGAATGAGCATTGTGGTGGCCAGAGTATAAATAGAGAACAGATGGCCCATTCAAATTAGAATAGTTAAAAAATTCTTTTTATTGAGGTATAGTTGACATGTAATGTCATATTAGTTCCAGGTGTAAAGTATGATTCAATATTTGTACACATTGCAAAATGATCTCCACAACTAAGTCTAGTTAACATCTATCACCACACATAGTTTTAAACATTTTTTTTTCCTTATGATGACAACTTTAAGAATTACCCTTTCTCAGCAACTTTCAAATATGCAATGCAATACAGTTGATCCTTGAACAACATGGGGGTTAAGGGTGCCAAACCCAGAGAAGTTGAAAATCTGCGTATAACTTTTCATTCCCTCAAAACTTAACATTTGTCCTTCAGTATCCATGTGGATCGGTTCTAGGATGTCCTACAACCCCATACCAAAGACTGTGACTGCTCAAGTGACTTATATAACATGGAGTAAAACAATGTATACAGTCAACTCTCTGGATCCACAGATTCCCAACTGTGGATCAAAAACAATGTGTCCCACATTGGTTAAATCTGTGGATGGAAAACCTCAGAATACACATAGATTGCACAATATATATATTTTCCATGTGTAAGTGGACCCACAGAATTCTAGCACTGCATTGTTCAAAGATCAATTGTATTATTATAGTCACTGTACTGTATTTAGTACATGCCATGACTTATTTATTTTATAACTGAAAATTTGTACCTTTTGCCTCACTCTTATATCTGTTTCTGACAGCCACCAATCTATTCTCAGTATCCATAAACATATATTTTTTTTAAATTCCACATATAAGTGAGATCATACGATATTTCTCTTTCTCTTTCTGATTTATTTCACTTAGCACAATGCTTTCAAGGTCCATCCATATTGTCACAAATGGCAAGATTTCATTATGGTTTTATGGTTGAATAGTATTCCACCATATATATATATATTCACATATACTTTATCCACTCATCTATCGATGGATATTTAGGTTATTTTCTTGTCCACTGTAAATAAACACTGCAGTGAACATAAGGGTGCATATATCTTTTCAAATTATTGTTTTGTTTTCTTTGAATAAATACCCAGAAATGGAATCACTGGATCATATGGTAGTTCTATTTTTAATTTTTTGAGGAACCTTTATGCTTTTTTTTTTTTATAGTGGCTATACCAATTTATACTTCCACCAACAGTGCACAGGCGATTCCTTCCTCTACAACCTTGTCAACATTGGTTATTTCTCAAATTAGAATACTTTGAGAAGGGATTACTTACAAAGAGCTTGTTTATAGGGATGTGATCAGTAAGAGCTTCAAAGTGATAGTACAGGTACCTAGGGTTAATAATAGCACTTGTCACCACCTCTAGACCTGCAAGGATGAGTGACCCTGAAATCCTGAAGTAGAGAGTTGACATAGAGAGGGTTACTTCCAGCAGAGCTTTTTGAATTTATTCTATCTCTTTGGGTGTGAGTTGGGCTTATCAACTTCAATGCCACTCTTTGTGTTGGTTTTGCTCAAATAGATGGTTGTATCTGGTGTTAAAGAAAAATTGCACTAAACAGGATGAGCAAACGGAAGATGATTTTTATACTGATACTATTGCCAGCAATGGGGAATAGAACATAGACAAGTCTGAATATCCGGTTTTGTTAAAACAAAAGTCTAGATTGGGCTGAAGTAAGTGTCAGATATAATGGGTTTAAGCCCTGGGTGAACTAGTGGAAAAATACTAAAGGACTTTAGTAAGAGGCTGATCAATGAGATGTGTCAAGCACACTGAGTTATTCCTGAGATTGCACATCTTTTTGTCTATGATAAGGCCATCTGTGTTTGCTAATTGGCGCCCAAGGAAGTTAGACTCTTACACTCCACAGAGACTGAGCGATGGGGT